AACAAAGAAAAAACTGAAGGAACAAAACAGCAGCAGAATCACAGAACCCAAGAATGGACTAACAGTTACCAAAGGGAAAGGGACTGGGGAGGATGGGTGGGAAGGGAGGGATAACGTTGGGGGGAAGAAAGGGGTCATTATGATTAGCATGTATAATGTGGGGTGGGGCACGGGGAGGGCTGTACAACACAGAGGACACAAGTAGTGATTCTACAGCATCTTACTATGCTGATGGACAGTGACTGTAATGGGGTTTGTGGGGGGACTTGGTGATGGGGGGAGTCTAGTAAACATAATGTTCCTCATGTAATTGTAGGTTAATGATACCAAAAAAACCCAACAAATTCTCTGATCTATAAAACAGAAAATAGCAATACTTTCTCAACCTAAGTTTATTGGAAAGACAAAATTACTAATGTGAAAGCACTTAGGACTTGGTATATAAATGTTAGCATCATAAAAGAAAGATATTTACACTTAATTCTGTCACCTCAATTTGGAGATTAGTATCTTATTAACATGTCTTCAAAAAATTATGAACTTTCAGTTACCTGTAATTACAGTTCGTTCTTCATAAGTGGTAGTGATGTTATTGCTGGTGTTGCCAATCAAGGACACAACTGCGGTGATTAAAGATGGGGCATTCTTCCCATGTTTGTCACTTAAGTGTGGAGACAGTTGTTTGTGGCTATACCAGTTTTGATATATAGAAATTATTATATCCCCTGCCTAACTCAGAGTATGGGCTTCTAGAATCATAATGGCATGTGACAAATGATTCTTGAATAAAAGAATTCTCTATATTGTCACTTGTGCATAGCTATTTCAGATTGCTGTATAGATTAAAACATTTGCTTCCACTGCCCAATGTTCCCTTGTTATGAATTATTGCTTAAAAGCATCTATCAGCTGTCAATTACATCTCAGTTTTTTAAAAAGACCAATGAAAGTATCAGCATATATTAGACTGCTTCAACTTGCCAAGAGAAGAGCAGGTCATTCTGGGTATTGCCAAGAGCAGTTGTTATTTACCACATGTTTTATCAAAGAGACCACTGCAAATGCTAATAGATTTGATGAGCTCAGACACATAGAATTAGCATTGAAAAGTTAAATAAATTAATGGCACTGTTCAAGAAAACAAATACGCCATCTGTGAATCCAAGTCTTAAGGGAATAACGAACCACCATGGAGATGAGACAAAAATGACTCTTGGCAGATACTGGACTTGGCATGGAGTCAGATGCCTTTGGATATCAGACTTCACTTCTCAAAACTCTTGGTTTCTAAAAAATAACAATTTTATTTATTGTTTTTACCTTATTAGTACATCGTCCCACTAGGTTTGCTATGTCATTAAATGTTTGATATGCCAATTGTGATATCATTATTAATGTATATAAATGGCAGGTAGATACAGAAAATTTTATATACTTCACTTACATTTGGGATTAAACAAGTTGCTGTTAAGTAACAAACAGTAGGTATAACTTGTCAGGCCACCACATAGAGCTGTGTCAACTGTGCCCTGAACAATTCCAGCTCCTTCTACTCAGGTAGAGTGCAGTGTGAGCCCTGGCCTCAGGAATCGGACAGCACACAGCCAGCGCAGGTATATGTGGCTGCCCTGGAGTTGATAGGTCTTGGCAAAGGCTTTTTGATAAGCTACCTGGAAAATAAGAAAGTGAACATTCTAATGACTGGATAATAAGTAATTTTGCAAGTCAGAAGGTTTCTAATTTTTTGTTTTCAACAAAAGCTAAAAAGCATTTTGACAACTTGGAATCCACAAACTAAGTGGCATTGCTGTAAAAAGAGTCCTCTCATTCCCATCTACTTTTCTATGTGAACACATTTTCTCAGAGATTTTTATCTATAGATATGAAAAATGGGAATGTCATTGATCCTAAACTGTCATTTCCAACAGTAAGCAATACTCAGCCAAGGATATCTGGTCTAAATTAAAAGAAAATGAATTCATCAGATTGAAAGAACTTCTGGTAAATTTTTACATTTGACTTAAACATTTACGTTGTTTGATTCATTATAATAATTGTAACTTTAATCAGCTTAGAATTTTTTTACTGCTTAAGAATCAAGAATGTAAAACAATTAAAATTTTAATTTATGTACATTTACATTTTTGTTTCAGAGAAGTTGAGAAGCATTAGTAAAAGATTTTCAAGCAGTTTGTATTTCAAAAGAAAATACAGGCAGTTCCAGGAAGAGAAAGACAAGTACCAAATGATTTCCCTCATTTGTGGAGCATAACAACAAAGCAAAACTGAAGGACCAAAACAGCAGCAGACTCAGAGACTCCAAGAAGGGACAAGCGGTTAAGATTATTTTGTACAATTTTGCACAGTCATTTTTCTGGTCTTGCAGTCCTGCATGAAGTGAGAACTGCCTGTATTTTAGAAGGTCAACATTCTCTGAGAGAAGTTAGAATGGAAATATGACCTCAAGAAGAAAAAGAGACAACTTGTCTACTTATTTTTAAATGAATGATGGTAGGTTTCACTATGATTAGCTTTTACTAAATAAACTTAAAAAAGTTATTTAAAAGCCTACTAAAAAATCACTTTACAGTGTTAATGTTACAATTGTAATGTTAAAAATTAAAACCTTGGCAAATGTTTAAACTTACGATGAAAAGTTTTCAATATCAATCTGAAAATGTGGAAATGAGCATATAGTTTTTAAAAAATTATTTTGGGGGTACTTGTTAAAAACATATGAAAGACTACTGGTATATTCTCTAAACAAGAACTAGCCCTACTACTCTTTGAGGGGAGGGTCAACATAGTACATTGAAAATATGTTCTTTGGTGTCAGTTAAACCTAGATTCCATATGAAATTAATTTAAGACAGAGGACAATAAACTAGGACCTTTTACAGTTACAAGCAACAGAAATCCAATTCTTCCGCCTAGAAAATAAGAATAAGAGCATTGGCTCAAATAACCAAAGACAGACTGATACTCAGAATTCTAAGTCAGAGATAAAACTCTCCAACGACTCCCTGTCTCATTCAGCAGAAGCCAAAGTACTTAGAATGGCTTCCTGGGCTTTCCTCCCCAGCGGTAGCTCTGCCTCAAGGCCTTACTACTATCTGTCTTGTCTGCACTGCTG